CAGCATGTTCAAGGCCACACAGCAAGTCAGGAGAACTGGGGCTTGTGCTGAGGCTGGCAGACCCACAACCCCGCCTGCCAACCCCAAGTATTTCTCATTTTAAAAATGTTTAGCTTTGCCATGTGCTGAACACCCGGATAGGACTGGGAAGGTGTTCTTGGAATTCCAGATGGGATGGGTGCTGTGGGGTTCCCAGGTGTGAGAGCACAGGTAGGCTGGGCTCCATCCCTGACTTCCACTGACCTGGCAAAGGCACTTAGGGACACAAGCGTGCTAGCATTCTCCACATGAGCAAGTGCCCAGCTTGTACCAGATCTAAGCCAGCTTGCAGCAGTAATTTCCTGGGGGTGTCTTTCTGGGGTGACCCTTTATCAAGGTGTGGCTGGGAGAGGGAAGGCTGGAGTGTAAAGCTGACGTCTAACCTCACATCCATGGGACAGCCAGCTAAATTATTTACAGGCTCTGCCCACCTCAGCATACTTGTTGTGGCCCACCCCTAAGGCCAAGCCAAACGAAGCAGGAAAGATGTCCGGGTGAAATATTGTTGTCAGAGGGAAAGACATGACAAACCCCGTGACACTTCTGACCACCTTCTGCCCATCCTCTTGGATGTCTGCAGGTATGTCCTATACCCCTAAGTCCTCGAAGCCCATAAGATAGAACAGGATGTGTGTGTTTATTTTGTGTGTGTGTATGAGTAGCATGTGTGTATGTTTAAATTCATGGCTGACAACTCTGTCGTGTGTGTTACATGGCTGGAAAATGAAGAGAGTGCCTGCCGGCTCTGCTTTAATTGGATTTTCTAAAGCATAAATAAAAGGTAGGGAAGAGTGCTGCATTCTTTGATTGATGTCTTTCCTTGGAGTGTGTGCGGCTCAGCTGGTCTGGAGTCCCTTGGTTGCTTAATTAAAGGGCTTTATTCTGCCCATGTTTCGAGCTGCTGCTTTGTATGCCTGTCTAGAGGCTGACCTCAAACCTGCATGACCAGAAATGCCACTAGAGGTGGGGGCAGCCTGGGAGATGGACCCCAAAGAGTTATGGAATATATGTGAGGAAAAATAGTTGCTTATTGGATGGCAGAGGAACACAATGCCCAGCTTTGGTCTGTATAGAAGTTTCCTTAGAAGAAGGGTTTCAAATAATGCTTAGAAAAGTACCAAATGATTTGAACTTGAGATGGCTTAATACAGATAAACCTCCAGTGGCTTTGGAAGATTGGCCTTTGCTGCAGTGGGTAGTAGGGTAGAGGTGGGATGTCCTTGTTGCTGTGGTTTCAATCTTCAATGTCCCTCAAAACCTTATGTTCTGAAAGGTTAGTCGTCAGCTGAGAGTTCTATGGGAAGGTGGTGAACACTTGGGGAGGTGGGGTCTAGGTCACCGAGATGTGCCTTTGAGGTTATAATTTATATCCAGCCCCCCCCCCCAACTTTCTTCTGCCATAGCTTGTGCCATGCTGTTTGTGCCTCATCTCAGGTCTAAAAGCAATGGATTCAACTGACCATGGACTAAAACTGAACCAAAATAAACTTTCCTTTTTGAAATTGTTTTCATGTATTTTGTCACAGTGACAGAAAACTCACTTAACCACCTGCATGTTTGCCTTCCCTTGTCAATTTTCCTTGTGAGAGCTGGTACTTGGAAGGATGCACCCTAGTCCCTTAGGGTGCATTTAAGGGGATGTCACTCTCAGGTACAGCTGAAAGGATCTTTCAACATGCAAATATGGACACCCCAAGATAAATCCAAATGCCTTAACAAGACTGATTAGCTCTTGAAAATAAAGTGCATACTCTCAAATTAGTGGATCTTGTTTCTGCATTTCTAGCAGCAGCACCGGGTGGTCCTGCTCCTGCTCGGGAATCTCATTTTAAACAGTGAAGTTGCAGGTGCCAGCAAAGTCAGGAAGTCAGTCATATCTGGCCTGCATCCAGTTTTTCTAAATAAAGTTTTATTGGAATACATTCATTTACATGTTGTCCACAAGTGCTTTTTTTCCCTGCAGTGTTAGAATTGAATTGTCATGAAACACATCATACAGCCCACAAATCCTAAAATAGTTACTATCTTTATTAAAAAGTTTGGAACTCCCTGGTTTATGAAATCTACTTTTGTTTATCATGAATCACTCACACATCAGCCAAATGGAATGTACTGTCATTTCTGGGGTTTTGCAAATATGTTATGGTTTGTGTGTATTTATCTCCCAAAATCTCATGCTGTCATGGGGCAGAGTTCTAGTGTTTGTGATTCATGATCCACTGGGATTATGGGTGTGAGTGCTGCTGGGATTATGCATGTAAGTGCTGCTGGGATTGTGGGTGTGAGTACTATACCCAGCCTGGGGCGGATAGCCTGAATCCAGCTAAAGGAGACAGAATTGCTCTTTGCAGTCATTGTTTCTGCTACTCCTCCCTTTGGCTCTTGCTGTTTTGTTGCCTTCTGTGGCCATGAACTGCTGCCCTCTGCCATGTGCCACTCTGCCTTGGAGTCGGCTGAGTATGGACGCAAAGCTCAAATGACAGTGAGCTAAATAAACCCTTCCTTCCTTCATTTTTGGTGTTGGGTATTTTGTCCCAGCAACGATAGAAGTGTAACTGAGACAGAATGATACCAAGGATGGAAAGATATTCCTTGCTCCTAGATAGGAAGAATCAACATTGTGAAAATGGTCATATTCCCAAAATTGTTACATAGATTTAACACAATCCCTAGCAAAATACCATCAATGTACCTCAGAGCTAGAAAAAACATTCTTAAAATTTGTTTGGACCTAGAAGAGACCTATAACAGTAAAGGCAATCCTGGGCAACAAAGGCAAGGCAGGAGACATTACAGTTCCTGACTTGAAGTTATATTGCAAAGCTACTGTGATAAAGTCACATCTTTCTTCATGTCCTTGATCTTCTGTCCCTTCTCTTCAACTTGTACCTTGTTCTGATCTCAGTTCATAAGTCATTCCTTCCACACTGCCTTGCTTGTTCTCCAGAGGCTGAGTTAAGTGACTCTCGTGGATGGCGAGTCTGGACTGCCTCATCATGACATTAATCCAGACTAATTGCCCCAAATGGTGATTGCCTAATCGACATCTGGATCTCCTATTAGATCATCTGTTAACTATTGAATTCCAAGTACCAGGCATATAATATTTTAAATTTGACAGCTTTAGACACCTTTCTTATTTTTAAGCACCCTGAATGGAAAAAGATCTTAACCATTCAGAGAAATTCAAACTAATGTACTTCTGGTACTGGTCTCCTGAAAGTGGATAAAAGTCAGTGATCAACCACTATAATGGAACAGTGCACCACAGGCACCCAACAATATACATGCACATATCACACACACACACACACACACACACATACACACACAGAAATGCAGACACACAGCAGGTGTTGGCTTTTTCAGGGTTTGGTAGATGAGCTATGTGCCTTTGAGATTAAAATATTTGAGAATTTCTTTTGAAATGCAGAAACTTTTCAATAATGTGAGATCCCAGTTGTTGACTCTTTGCAGTATTTCTTGTGCAGTTTGGTTTTTGTTCATGAAATATCTGCCTACCCCTACCTAGGTCTTCAAGATTTCTACCTACTTTCTTTTCCAGGAGGTTTAGTGTTTCTGTTAATATTTAGATCTTTGATCTATTTTGACTTTAATTTGGTGCATGGTGATAGAACAGGCCTTGTTTTAGTTTTTAACATATGGAGAACCAGTTTTGCCAGCACCATTTATTAAAGAGGCTATCTTTCTTCCAGTGAACATGGTTGGCCCCTTTATCAAAGATAACATGGCTTAGTGTGTTTGCAGTTGTAGCTGCATCTTCTAATCTGTTCCACTGATCCTTGTTTGTTTTTTTTTCCAGTACCATGCTGATTTTATTACAATAGCTTTGTAATATAACTTCAAGTCAGGGATTGTAATGCCTCCTGTCTTGCTTTTGTTGCCCAGGATTGTCTTTGCTATTACAGGTCTTTTCTGGGTCCAAACAAATTTTAAGAATGTTTTCTCTAGCTCTGAGGTATATTGATGGTATTTTGATAGAGATTGCATTAAATCTGTGTAACAATTTTGAGAGTATGACCATTTTCAGTGTTGGTTCTTTCTACACAGGAACAAGGAATATCTTTCCATTTTCTGAAATTCTCTTTAATCTCTTTTTTTCAGAGTATTGCAATTTTCATTGTATAGATATTTAACTTAATTTCTTAGATTAATTCTTCAATATTTCATTTTTTGGGATGCTATTGTGAAGGGTATTGTTTCTATAATTTCCCTCTCAGTGTGTTTGTTGTCTGTGTAGAGGAATGCTAAGACAACCCATAAATTAGGAAAAAAGTCTTAATCAGTAATCACTCAGGCAAAGGCCTTCTATCTAGAATATATAAAGAATTAAAAAAAATTAGGCCCCCAAAATTTAAAGACCCAATACAAAAATGGGCATCTGAGATGAATATACACTTCTCAGAAGAAGAAATACAAGTGCCAAATAAATGCATGAAAAAATGTTCCACAGCACTGGCCATTTGAGAAATTCAAATTAAAACAACATTGAGACACATTCTCATCCCAGAAAGAATGACTATCATAAAGAAATCAACTAATAACACATGTTGAAGAGGCTGTAGCAAAAAATGAACCCTTCTCCATTGCTGGTGGGAATGTAGACTGGTACAACCGCTATGGGAATCAGGTGACGACTACTCAAATTACTAGGACTGAAAATCCCATTCAAACCAGCTAGTCCCCTTCTGGGCTTTCCCAAAAGAACTGTAATCACACCATAGTGATATATGTGCACCCACATTTATAGCAGCACAATTTGTCATAGCCAAATCTTAGAAACAATCAAAATGCCGGTCGCCTAAGAAATGGATAAAAAAGAGGTGGTATTTTTATACAGTGGAGTACTACTCAGCTATAAAGAAAGACAAACTCTAAGTCTTTGTAAGTAAGTGATGTAACTGGAAGCTATAAGCATAAGTGAAGTAAATCAGACCCACATGTGCACACATCATATTGTCTCCCTAGGGTAAGAACATGAAAGAAGAAATAAAACCTGAGAAGTGTAATAGATATAGTGAAACTGAAACAGAGAGAAACTAAACTTAAGCATTAAACACAAAGGTGAGAGAAATGGGAAGAGATAGGAAAAAAGGAAGGTGGAAAACATGCAAATATATATACAGGATGGCTGAGATAATTGTACTAATAATTTCCATCAGTTTTTTGAAAATAGCAGCTAATGTGTACAATTTTCACTTTGACTAACTCTATATGCTGATATCTATGATCTAAAGAACCACATCAAGGACAGCAATGTGTAATACAAAAACCATGCTTGAATACCTCTCATCTTGGACTTCTAGTGGTGTACCATTTTTAATTT